TTAAATGTCCCTTTTCATCCTCCTCTTCTCTGTGTGAGCAGGAAGCAATACGCAGAGCTACTATAGCTCGGAAATTCATACCCGTTTTTATGGGCAGTGCTTTCAAGAACAAGGTGCTCATCTCGTATTAATTTTATATAAGATTTTTATGTATCTATATTTGTTACTTTGTTTTAATCATTGCTTCTGATTCTGTACCATCTCTATTCCTCCGAGTACAGGGAGTGCAGCCTCTTCTTAACGGTGTTCTTAATTATTTGCCTTGTCCAATTGAAGTGAACAATTATGCTCTTGACCAAACCAAGGATGAAGAGAAGGTACTTGGTTTCATAACCATTTCCTGATTGCCTTCATACTCTGACTAACTCAGGAAACTGATTAAGGCCGGGTGCTTAGGTTATGTTGGGAGGTAATCCTGAAGGACCACTTGTTGCATTAGCTTTCAAATTGGAGGAAGGTCGGTTTGGTCAGTTGACATACTTAAGGTATCAATCATACAGTGCTTTGCATGAATGTGATAACACACTTGATACCAGAGCTTGGATTATTGGTCATTTGTGCTAACAGTGACTTTTGTAATTGAAGAATCTACGAGGGTGTCATTCGCAAAGGTGATTTTGTCGTAAACATAAACACAGGAAAGAGGATCAAGGTAAGTTTTTTCTACTTGTATTTTATGTATATTTTATACTTTATTATTGCTTCCTAAACTGGGTCATGGTATGGAGGCTGACAAATTGTTGATGTTCTATTTAGAAAAGGTTATCTCCCATAGAAACTTATCCTGGGCGCGGAAAAGTATCCATGAATTTGTATAATGATAACCTTTGTCAATTGTATGGAAAGATCACATTGTGACAGATTGTATTACTTCAATAATTTTTCCCTGGTGTTATTACTAAGAATGTGTCAGATCTATATAAGATATCCCACGTTAATTTAGGTAAAGATTATCTCCTTGTCCAGTCTCTTTAAGGATGGAGTTAGTATTGGATACGCTCTGTTTTCAAGCATCGGTCAGAAAACGTCTCTCCTGCCAAATCAACTATTGATCCAACCCTACAAGATCATGAAGCATATATCAGCTGCTTGATTAGCCTCACACTTCCTGCATGTGGTAGTTTGAGTGTCTTGGTAAAGCATGCCTCTTTTTCCGTTGCTTGCTGGCTAAAATGTTCCAATACCTTTTGATATAGGTGCCTCGCTTGGTTAGAATGCATTCTGATGAGATGGAGGTCAGTTTCTTCTACCTCTCTTAACAGTTAACAGTATGATGGTATTATTGCTGTTTCGATGACTCATCAATATTTGATGATGCTTAACCCATCTTTTCCATTGCAATTATACGGTTCACAGGATATTCAAGAAGCACATGCTGGACAGATAGTTGCTGTGTTTGGTATGGATTGTGCTTCAGGTAATATTCTTCCTTTATCAATGTTGTATCCGAATCCCTCAGTCAAATGGAGCTTTTGATTGTTTTTGCTCAAAATGCCTTTCAAACATGGAGTCGACTGGAAAAGTGCATGAACTGCGGTGCCCTGGGATACCACATATCTTTAGATATTTGAATTGTTTACTATGGGAATGATGAATGATTGCTGTGCTTTATCATTTTTGCTCCTCTACACTAACACATACATAACTTTTTTGTTGCCTATATAGGTGACACCTTCACTGATGGATCCGTTAAATACACTATGACATCTATGAATGTACCTGAGCCTGTGATGTCCTTAGCTGTTCAACCAGTTTCTAAAGATTCTGGGGGACAAGTTAGTGATTCCTGACGAAATGAAGTTCCTATTGACGATTCTTCTATGACATTTAGGCTTACATGCTTCCTTTTTCTTGTTCTCATTCTACAGTTTTCAAAAGCTTTGAACCGCTTCCAGAGAGAGGATCCCACTTTCCGTGTTGGATTGGATCCTGAGAGTGGTCAGGTTTGTGTCATGATCCTTCATTCATAATTTCTTTGAGCAGATAAATAATGCTGAGAATGTACTCACATGCAGACTATAATTTCTGGAATGGGGGAACTGCATTTGGACATTTATGTTGAGCGCATTCGGAGAGAATACAAGGTAATGACAATGAACTGTTTTCTCCTCATGTTATCTCCTTTTCTTTTGATCGTATTAAGAAGTCTGCTCCTTTCCAATATTAGTTTTTCTTGACAAATGTTTATGCAACAGGTTGATGCAACCGTCGGTAAACCGCGTGTAAACTTCAGAGAAACTATTACTCAACGTGCAGAATTTGATTACCTACACAAGAAGCAAAGTGGAGGACAAGGTCAATATGGTCGAGTAACTGGGTAAGTGCTTTATCTCATTCGTCTGGCTACTTTTCTGTTTGACCTTTGGTTAAATAAGGTCAAATTAATGCACTTACCATGAATATCCTTCTGTTTGTGAATTGTTTAATAGGTGATATTTTAGTTGTCGTGCTTTATTAGTATTTGCCTTATTGTTAGACATTATTCTCCCTAGTTGAAGTGGCATAGTATGGAACCTTGGTATTTCAATGGCAACCTTTAGATTCGTTTTATGTTGGTTTTGTCCAATATCTTATTTTCCCCTTGTTGTTAGAGGATATTGTCTCTAGTTGAAGTGACATTATGGAACCTTGGCATTCCAATGGCAACCTATAGATTCATTTTATGTTGGTATCATCCATTATCTCTTTGGGGTTTGTTTATGAATTATCATTTGGGAATTTGAGCTAATTCATTTGGTGGTTACTTTTAGGATGCAATTTATACGTTTTTTTCGAGCATTTTAAGAATATTATCATCATTAGCACTGGTCTCTATTCTCATTAAGACAGATGTTCTCCGATAGACATAGAAGTTTTACTATCTATGCATATGCCTTCAAGTTCCTTGTGGCATGCTGCAGAGTAGAATCAACACTGCATGTGAATTTTGTTGATTGTACTGCAGCATCTGGATGTTAGTAATTATTACATGGAAAACTTGTTACTTGTTAGTTTAATGATTGTTAATTCCTTTTTCTTCAATATTTCATGAAAATTGACGTCAAATTGTACAAACTTAATGCCTTTTTATTAGAGTACACATAATCATACTTGATTATTTTGGGATTTCCCTATTGATAGGTATGTGGAGCCAATACCTCTAGGTGAAGGAACCAAGTTTGAGTTTGAGAACATGATTGTGGGACAAGCCATACCATCAAATTTCATTCCTGCTATTGAGAAGGGCTTTAAAGAAGCAGCTAACTCGTGAGTCCCGAAGCTCTTTTCCCCTTGGTTGTGAAGGATAATTGATTATAACCATAAATTGTCAACTTGGATTCATCCTCTTCCATGTGTGATTGCTAATCAATGCATCCTTTGCATGTACTTACCAGGGGTTCCCTGATCGGGCATCCAGTTGAAAACCTCCGGATTGTTTTAACAGATGGTGCTTCCCATGCTGTTGATTCTAGTGAACTTGCATTCAAATTGGCAGCAATATACGCTTTCAGACAGGTTTTTCTCTCTTTCCTTTGGCGTTTATTCCTTTGATGTGCTTGGAATGTGGATCAGAATGTTTCACCCGTCTTCCTCCCCCATTTCCTGTGAAACAGTTGTATACAGCTGCAAAACCTGTGATTTTGGAACCTGTTATGTTGGTGGAACTGAAAGTGCCATCAGAGTTTCAGGGAACTGTTGCTGGTGATATCAACAAGTGTGTGCGCTCTATTCTCTCTCTCACTCCACACTTCTTTGCCTTCTTCCTTCTTTTAAGGTCTGTTCTCTTCCTAACTCTTACACACTAATAATATGTCAGGAGGAAAGGTGTAATCGTTGGTAATGATCAAGATGGAGATGACTCCGTAATAACTGCCCATGTAAGACCTCCATCCCTGTTCTTCTCTTGTTAACCTGATTAATAAGGTGTTCCCATGATCCACATTCTTTTCATCTTAACTAAATTCGGATAACTCTCATTCGACAACCTCAGGTTCCTCTAAACAACATGTTTGGGTACTCCACTTCTCTTCGTTCTATGACCCAGGTTAGACATGGATTTTTTTAAAATCCGTATTTACTGTTGTGAGCAAAAGATGTCTGCAGAGATATCTGACACTCAGCACTGACATTGTGGGCATAATGTTGCAGGGGAAGGGTGAGTTCACAATGGAGTACAAAGAACATCTTCCTGTTTCTCAGGACGTGCAGGTGCAACTGGTGAATGCTTACAAAGCCAGCAGGGCAACTGAATAAGATAGAAACAGGAGTACCACTACAGAGGGATAAAATCGAACCCACTGTATTCTTCATATAGAATGAGGTGTGGTCTTAGATGAAGTTAGATTTTCTATCCCTTTTTTGTATTGTTCATATAGGGGGCATAAGTCTTACCCAATCAATTTTGGGATGATAAAATAAGCTAAAACAAGCTCATTATTTACTCTCAACCCAATTTTGCGACAATTATTCAGAACAAACTTCAGATGGTATTAAGATGAAAGATTACATTACCTAGATAAAAAGAAGTTTAGATTACAAGAAACATATAATATTTCCACTGCAGCTATCTTAATTCCTTGCTTATAGGTAATAGTTGGCTAAAATAGCAACCCTTCGTTCAATGAGGAGTTGAAAAAGTAATAAAACAGGCTCAATGCTCTACAATCAGTGTTGTCATGCCGATGGAATGTTGGTCGGTTGAACTAAGTTCAATTGGTTCCACTCATGAAGCCGGTGTGAATAGTTAATACCACCATCATGATTGGTTTCTGTCCTATAAACAAAATGACATTGTTTGGCGAATTTAATTAATAAACAAATAATTTATTATTTATTTCATGAACTTAAAAGGTAATTGTTAATGTCATTTGTTGGATTAAAGTATAAAAGTTTGAATGTATACATTTAATGTTGTATTTCAATATGAGAATTTTTATTTTGTTTGGAATATCATATTTTATTAAAATTGTTTTCAAATATGCTTTATATATATGCTTAAATTCATTTGATTTTAATGAGTTTCTTATTTTATATATTTTATTAAATCGACATGAACCGACACAACTCGATTCTACCACTAATCGAACCATACCACTTGCTAAACCTATATAATAGCATCTCCATCGGTCACTTTTTGCAATTGCAAAGTGATGTGGAATGCTTGCAAATATAATTGCATTACTGTAGCCCTCAATTGCACTTTTGCAATCTTGGATATAATGCAAGTGGAAGTGAAAGCCAATATGGCTATGCTTATGGGAAGGACAGGTTGTTTTCGTTTTTCTTTTTATAAATTTTTTTCATTTTTGTTTTTTCTTTATATGTGGAATTAAATCACATATGCAATGGTAAATGAATTGCATTGATTTAGGTAAAAAAAAAAAGTAAAATGAGATGGATTTACAAAACTATTGAGTTGGCAACAAAAACAACAATGGCAATTGAGTTTGCTATTGCATTGATGATGCCCACTTTCGAGTTAAAATTGAGTCGTAGCTTTATTCGTTCACATCATGGTTGTCATGCCGGTGGCATGCCGGCCGGTTGAACCAGGTTGAACCGGTACCGGTCATGAAACCGATAAGAGGAGTAGGTCAATACCGGTCAAAACCGGAAATGCCGGGAGGCATAATTCCGGAAGCAATTGAAGCAATTGAAGTGACCCTATTTTTCTGGTTCTTCCCCCTGACCTAGACCTACGCACACTACCAAGTACCATCCATCCCACCTCTCCAGTAGGACCCACCTCAACCTTTTCCCTCTCTCTACTCTACTCTTTCTCGTTATTTGAATTACCTTTTCTTTCAATCTAGATTTCTACGCAGCATTAAACCAAATTAGTTACCTTTTTACTTGCTGACTCCACCATTATTACCTTTTTGCTTGCAGATGCCAAATAATAACGTTCTTCCATTTCCTTTTTTTAAGTACTCTCTTCCTTTTCCTTTTTTTCACATTTTCTTACCTCTTTTGTTGAAACCGGCATGTACCGGTTATACCACGGTCGGACCATTTCATTTGTGAAACCGGCACACCGGTATAAACCGGTTTGAAAACCTTGGTTCACATAGAAAATGCTAATTTTCGCCCATTGAACTCTGTTTTCAGTTTTCACGCGTTTCCATTTTAGAAAAGGAGAAAGTAAAAATGCTTTGTGTGTTGTGTCGCTATGTTTCTCTCTTTTCCCCTCCGGTAAATGTCTTTCTCTACTGCTGTTAATTGTACCGTTGGAAACCGCGTCTCCGTTTCCAAATTTGAGAAGGAATACTTCTGATCTCAGGAACGTCCCCAAGCTCCGCTCCTCTTCCCATTGCCTTAAATTAGGTCGGCCTGAGACCATAACTCATCAGAAATTCAGAGTTGCGACATCGGCAAGTAACGAATCAAACCCAATTTCTGTAAAAATCACAAGAAGATACATCCTTCCCGACCCATGAGCCGAACAACGACGGCCGCCGGGGCAAATCTCCTGGCGAGTGGTTTTCACTACGATCCCGTCGAAGAAGTCATGATCGGCACTGCTACGTTACCTCCCAACCATCGCTGCCCCGCCGTCAATCGATTTCCGGGGACGCCAGGACGATTTCCCAGGGACCAACTTCGTCAGCGCCGCGAGCCAACTACAAGGACATGGAGGCGCGATTCCGATGTCCTATTCATGGCCCCTGCAGTAGGTAATTTAGGGAACCACTACCCTTTGCAGCAGGGTAGACGCATCCTCGTCCAGCACGATCCGGAAGAAGAAAGCATTCTGATTTTCGACGCCATCTCGCCTCCGCCGCGATTGAGCGAGGAGGCGCCCGATCTCGCCGCCGACCAGTGGTTCAGGACGACCCCTGCTTCCGACTCTGCGATTGAAGGGCTGGAAAGGGTGGAAGCCGGCGCTGCGACAGGGGATTGCAGGATTTGCTTGGAGGAGATGGTGGGTGGTAGTGGCGATGGTGGCGGGACCCAGGAATTAATTCGGATGCCTTGTGCACATCTGTTCCATGAGAGCTGCGCCGTTTCCTGGCTGAAAACCTCCAACTTCTGCCCCTTGTGCCGCTTCCAGATCCCTGCTCCGGATCGTTAGGTTTTTGTTTTATTGTTATTTTGAAACGGTTGGCTGTAGATTGTTATTTAGGAAGTTTCTGTATAGCAAGCTAATGACTAATGTAATGGTGGGTTCGTAGATTGTTATTCTGCTATGAATTTGTCTTATTGGATAACATTGGAATTGGATTGCTTGTTCTCTGAGTTTGTGAGGGGAATGGGGACATGAATCTCGATTTACTCTGATAATCAATAACCAAAAATCTCAGCGAATCAATTCATCAAACACCTGGTGTGCATAGTAGATTCGGAACCACCACTCACGTCAAGTTACTTTTAAGTTTTAACAACAAACCGGACGGGAGATAAGTAACTCCCCAGTAGGTTGTTCTCAATTGGCTGGATAAAAGGCATTTGTAGCAAGATTACGAGGACGATCATATTTGGCAGAGTTAACTTATGAGCAATCAAACAAGATCATGGACATGGCCTGGGAGAGCAAGGTATCCAGGGTTTTTCAAAAACACTTCTACTTAAGCAGGTGATGCCGAGCGATTTAAGGGTACAGAGAATGCATGAGTCAGTGACAATAGTTAAGATGAAGTTTTTTTTCCCCAAGCAAGATGCAAGAGGGGACAATGCACATAATCAAAGGAACCTTTAGGATCGTGAGTTCAATTGTGGTTCAATTAATTTGGCTAATTTGTTTGATTCCTTAACAATGCTTAGTGAGTTTGGCTAAGTGGATTGATTTGGTCATATACTAGACTAACCAATCTACCAAATTCTATTTATAACAAAGCAGCGTTGGCACAAATGGTAGGAGTTCCTCTTGGCTTGTGCAATATCCGACAAAATACAAGGATTGGTAAACGAAACACATATTGATGTATTTTTACTCGATGTTATAAAGAAATTTAAATAAATTTGATCATGTCACTTTCAAAATAATACGTCAACATAATGTGGAATAGAGAGCTTCGGAGGGGAAAAACAAATAATCAAAGTTGCACACCTAGTAGCTCATACACCATGTAAATAGAATGTTTAAAAGTTATGGACATTAGGACTTATAAACAATCTATTCTCTTGTGCAAACTTTCCAAAATTTATTGTACGTACAGTTTAAGTATGAAAATACCAAGTATCTAGATAAATTGTCACAAAAAATGCTAATCATGTTACTTTTTTAATGGAAGGATGGTCTAATATGTATATTTTTGAATAATTTGTGACATTCTTTTGTTTTTTGGTATATTACCAAAGTTACTATCATTTATGAAAATACATATTTATCTCATTGTGATGATCACACGAAACATAAATGGTTCGACTTTCATTTATTAAATTAGTTTCTTCTGGCTAACGAACCAGACTTTAAACTACTATGGAAAGTATAGTAGTAAGTAGGAGGTGGATCAATTATCGTCATGTGTGGTGGGTCTAGTATTTGAGTATCATTATTATAGTTTTATGGAAGACAAAATCGATCACAACTCACTTTTTTATGAGATTAATAGCATCAAATACTGAAGTAACAAACATTTTCAAGTGTGCATAAGAATTTATAATATTATTCTGGCTTTAGTTTTATGAGTGACCATATCGATCAAAATTTAAATAATGGGTATGGTTTTTTTTTTTGACAAAAGATAATCTTATATTGATTCCAAGAAAAGATAATTACATCCTAGATAACAGCCAGGCTTGAAAATTAAAAGCACGACTCATAGTCGGGTACAAAGAGAGGGCTTTCCTAGCCACCAAATGGGCTACCCTATTGTTACTCCGATCTACGAAACAAACACTGAACCCAGGGTTACTGTCAAAAAGATTCACCACTTCCTCCAATAGAGAACCCATCCTGCCATCTCTTGAATCCCTATGCCTAATTTTGTCAATGACCACTTTAGCATCCCTTTCAAACCTAACAGAGGCGAAACCTTGACCCAAACACCAGAGAATAGCCTCACGCAGAGCCATCAGCTCTACTACCACATGATCATCTATGACAGGAAAATAAACCCCACTGGCCCTTAGGACGACTCTAGAAGGGGTCAGAATAACCATGCCACCGGCCGAGTGCGATCTCTGCCTCGTGGCACCATCCCATCCACAGATAACCTCAAAAGACCCCACCAGTGAAGGCTCATGGACCCCTATCATCGGGTTCCGAGACCGTCCTCCATTGGGAGGCGCACCCATCCTCAATCTGCTGCATATATTGCCACATAAGCGCCGGAAGACCAAACAGTTTGCCTTCAAACACCACCCAGTTACGGGACTTCCAGATCCGCCAGAGAACCGCAACAATTGCTATCCACATCGACGGCTGATGCACTAAAGCCAGCAGCTTCTTAAGGAACAGAGGAAAGGTGTGCCGTGGCAAACCCTCCCTAAGGTGTTCCAACCCTGCGCCCCCCACAGGGCACGCGCAACCGGAAAATCTAAAAATAAATGCTCCAAGGTTTCAGGGCCTCCCCAACAGGTCGGGCACCGAGACAGAATCGGTATATGGCGACTAATGAGAGCTTCAGTGGTAGGCAAGATCCGACTGAAAATCTGCCAAACAAACACCTTCAACTTAGGCGGGATATTGGCCTCCCACAACCGTATCCAACTGGTCCTATCCATCCAATCCACCGTCTCCTTCCAACGGCCCCTCCTTTTCTCCAAAGGAACAGCCAGATGGTAAGCCGATTTGACCGAGAACGCCCCCATCCGCTGTATCATGCCAAATGAGCTTATCTTCCACATTATCCCGCGGGAGAGGGATGGCTTGTATGATACGGCACGTCACAGGGTCAAACCACTGACTAAGATTTAGACTACACCAACGCCCCTCCCCTTGACAAATTAACTCCGCCACCAGTGGGTCCCCCCCCCCCCCCCCATCCGGCAAAACCTGAGGATTATACCGTAGGGGTCAAACTGAAATTCTGGGACCCAGGTAGAATGGAGCATAGATGTCGAGCGCCCATTCCCAACCTGCCATCGTATACCCATCTCTAAAAGCTGGCATCCAAACAGGATACTCTGCCAACCCCACGATGGCCTAGATCGAGCTTTAGCATTGAGGAAATGTCCATTAGGGAAATATTTACCCCGATAGACTTGGGCCAGTAGGGAGTTAGGCTCACTGAGGATACGCCACCCAATTTTAGCCAAGAGCACCTGATTAAAATGCTCAAAACGGCGAAACCCCATCCCCCCATCATGCTTACTTCTACACATGTCCCGCCATGACATCCACCGCACCTTCGGGTGACCTTCATTCTCACCCCACGAAAACCGGGCAACATGCCTGTCTAAAAGGCGGCACAAGGACAAAGGGAGCTTAAAACACGACATCACATGCAATGGCAATGCCAGAGCAATAGACTTGATAAGGGTTTCTTTGGCTGCCCACGAAAGCGTCCTCTGTTTCCATCCCTGAAGTCGTTCCAACAATTTGGTTTCCAGATAACGAAAAGTCCCTATTTTAGATATGGAAATCAACGATGGGAGACCCAGATATTTATCATGGACTCCGACGGCCCCCACCCCCAGAACTGCCGCCAAGAAATCTTGATCTTGTTGCACAATATTCCTACTGAAGCAAACTGCCGATTTGGCAAGATTCACTCTCTGGCCACTTAATTCCTCATATTCATTTAGGACCTTAATAAGGTTATCGCACTCCTGAAGAGTGCCTCTCAAGAATAAATAGGAGTCGTCGGGAAAGAATAAATGTGACAGTCTGGGGGCCCGTGGAGCCACTTTAATCCCGTCCAGTCTCTTTTTTGAAATCGCCTTCCGGAGAAGCGCCGCAAACCCCTCAGTGCACAACACAAAAAGGAGGGGAGACAAAGGATCCCCCTGACGCAATCCTCTGGAAGAAGAAAAGTAACCAGACGGAGTGCCATTCATCATAATTGAAAATGATGCAGAACTGAGGCATTCCTTGATCCATCCTACCCAAGTAGAGCTAAAACCCATTTTTTCCAAAATCGCAAGAAGAAAAGGCCATTCGACTTTATCATGCCTTTTCCATGTCAACCTTCAAGGCCATGAACCCTTTCTTCCCCCGAGTTTTGGTTTTCAAATAGTGCATGAGCTCATGCCCCAGTAGGATATTATCTACTATTTGACGCTCCTTAATAAATCCATTCTGACCTTCTGAGACCACATGGGGAAGGACAATGGCCAATCGGTGTGCCAAAATTTTGGTTATGATCTTGTAAACAAATTGGCATAAACTGATTAGGCGCAATTGCCGCATTGTCTCCACATTATCGACTTTAGGAATTAACGAGAGCCACGTGTCCCATAGTAAAGAATGAGCAGACTGCATCAATTACCGAGGGCCCCACAATGTCCCAGAAGGCCTTGAAGAATTTGCCAGTAAAGCCATCTGACCCAGGGGCTTGTTTGGAGCCCATAGTAAATACAGTTTTGCGCACTTCTTCTGGGAGCACGGCAGCCGTTAAAGACTCATTCATTGTTGGGGTTACACTCTGGGCAATGCGTAGATCATGCAGCCGACTATGCATGTCTGGGATCTGATTTTCGGATGTGAAAAGGTTACTATAGAAATTAGTGGCAATATCTGCTTTACCTTTCTCTTCCGTGATCCACTCGCCATCATCAGCCCGAAGCCCACTCACAAAGTTTCTTTTCCGGCGGGTCCTCGTCACCGTATGGAAATACGAGGAATTTTTGTCCCATTTTTTTAGCCACGGACCCTGGACTTTTGTTGCCAGTACGCCTCCTCCGCCTCCCATTGCCTATTCAACTCAAACTCAAGGCCACAGACCTCCTCCCAATTAATGGGATGCAATGCAGTCAAAAGCGCGATTCTACCTAGAAGCGGAAAAGGGATAAAATCGTAAAGCGTAGAATCAAAGCGTAAAAGCGTAAGTTTTTGACGCATACTGAAAAAAGCTAAAAATCTATTAAGTAAGACGTATGCTATGCAAAATATGAATGCACAGATAAGTCAATAAATACATGCGATTCATGTCTAAAGTAGAACAACTTATAGCATCTTAATAATAAGTTCGTAAACATAAATTTTAACAATAAGCCACTTTTCCCTCTATGCTAATGAATTTGGGAAAAGCCTAGCTGGTGAATTATATTACTGTATTGAAGTTGAGAATGCATCCAAGTACCTGATATGTATCTTCTAATCTCAAATGTATCATATTGTTGGTGATTTACTTTTAAAATAGACTTTTTATAATTAATTTCATGAAAAGAATACTCATTTAGTGAACTAAAAGCATAAAAACGTAAAGCGTTTTGGTGAACTAGAAGCGTAAAACCATTAGCTTTTAAGCTTTAAAGCGCAATTTAGTCTGATTTTATACACTTAAGTTTTTATATGGAAATGAAAGCGTTTTGGTGACCTAAAAGCGTAAAATCGTAAGTTTTTAAGTTGTAAAGCGCGATTTTGACTGCATTGATGGGATGAGCTTGCTTGATTATTTCTATTTCAGCCTGCAGAGTCTTTATGTTGCGCAAAGAATTTGTCGTTCCTGCTCTACTCCAGTCATACAGCAAGTGACGAAGTTTCTTGAGGCGTTCCCATAACCTGAACACTGAGGTTTCTTGAACCTCTTCTTGCCAGACATAGGTCACCATGGCTCTCACTTCCAGATTATCCGCCCCAACGAGCATCAAACCTGAATAGAGGCCGACTAGTACGGACATAGGGCTTATCCGATAGTAGAAGCGCCCGATGATCCGATCCTTGATCCGTAAAGTGTTTCACCAGGGTATCAGGGAAACGATCCAACCAGGACTGGGAACAAAGGGCTCCGTCCAAGAGTTCACGAATACACGCAGCACCCATCCGCATGTTCGTCCAGGTAAATGGATCTCCTTGGTACCTCGGATCAATGAGGCCCATGTCGTGGATAAAATCACGTAGGCTAATCGACTGGATCGCATTCCATTGATTACCCCCATCTTTCTCACAATCGTTTAGGATAGTATTAAAATCTCCTATAATAACATAGGGACTAGCGACACCACTGCAAATTTCGCGCAAATGATTCAGTTGGGTGGCTCTTACAACAGCATGACAACTAATATAAACAATGATCACCACATACGAAACGTTCAATTCATTAATTTGAACACAAATACAAAACTCCGAATGAAAAAACACCGAAGCATCAACATCGGGGGACCAAGCCACCACCAAACCACCAGATGCATCAACCGCATCAACAAGAAAACAACAAGAAGCAAGAAAACCTAGAACCCGCAAACGCCGGGCAACTACTTTCCGTCTCGATCGGGTTTCCGAAAAAACACGAGATCCGGTTTATTCGAATGCACTAAACCAGAAGCAGTTTGGAATGTGAGGGATGGTCCAATTCCTCTCACATTCCAGGCCAAAAGCCTCATTTATCCTCCTGGGGCCATTCCAGGCTGGCTTCCTCCACCTTTTCAGTTTTCTCCATGTCTTCCACAAACTGTTTCTTGGGGACCGGAATCTCCGCAACCTCCCCAGCTATCTCATCCAAATGGCGTTTCTTATTGCCTGGCATCTTCGCATCAATATTAGAACCATATTCATCAATGGCGATGCCAGGCACAGCTCAAAGGCGTGAACCACTTGTTTCACCCGATTTGATCGGGCCAAGCGTT